GACATAGGCTAGAATAGGGCGATTCTTTGGGCGTAGTCCTCTTTGTCTTAGGAAAAACCCTTGGAGGCTGGGAAAAATGGACTTGCCTCTAAGAAGCTCACATCGAAACCACCGAATTCGGCTCCAACCTCTAGGTCCCCCAGTAGTGCCCTTTGACCCTTTTTTGGTTGGGAGGGTTCCCCTACTAAAATCGACCACAGAAAAAAGGGTACTCTCCACTGGAGGACCTAGTAGACTACTTCGGTTTTTTTCTCCGCCAAATGATGTGGGGTGAAGCCTCGCATGGCGCCAGGTCGAGGATCTTCGTCCATTAAGCTCAGCGCCCTCAGCTCAGTGAGCGAGGGGAGCATATGACGGAAACGAGTAGATCTCTTCGTGTGGAACTATATGGCTGTGGGTCAAATTCCTGTACTGGTGAACATCAAAATAGATGGTACATGGGTGTTCATCCCAAAATGGAGGGATACGTTGTGACCCATGGCCATATCTATATATATATATATGAGGATCGATCAAAAACCCCTCATGGCTTTTGTTGTAAGGACTGAATACGAAAGCATATTCGGTGTTACGGCGCTGTGGTCGCGGAAGACCGCGGAAGGGCCAGCGGAAGTTTTGCGGAAGGTTATGTGTAATCATGGGATGAAGCTTTACTCGTGTACTACACGAGTACTGAAAAGTTGTGCTGCTTGAGCTGGGGCAGCTCGTGCTCTGCTAGTACTTAAAAGCTGCGATGTTTCAGCTTGGCTGTCAAAGTCAAAGTGTGCTTCATGTGTTGAATTGTGCTGGGATGAAACGATACCCCGAACAATACCTGCGCAATTCCGAAACGATACCGCGCAGTGCCTGGGGCCAACTGAGCTACCGAATCTGGCATCATATTCGGCGGTCCTTGCGGCAGTTTGCAGAAAGGCGCGAAAAAAACAAATGTCGCGGTCGAAATTCGTTTTTTTCGCGCGTTTCGGACCTCGAAAAGCGTTCTGGCATCATATTAGGCGCTCCTTTTGATTCCCGCGGCAGAGTTGTAGAAATGCGCAAAAGCATGCTGATTTTGAGAGCAAGCAGCGAAGCAGTTTCGGCAGCGTCGAGAAACGATGCCTCTGTTGCCGGTCCAACTATGCTGCTCCTTGCTCCTACGCGCCAGGCCGAAACGAGCGCGCGTGCGCGTGCGTGTTCAAACTAAGCTCTGCAGCTTCTGTTCCCTTGCCCCAAGCTCCGTTCCTATTGCTCGTGCTTTTTGTTTGGGGTGTGCCAGAGCTCCAAACGATACCCAAAACGATGCCAAAGCGAAACCCTTCCAATTGCAGCTGTCGCCTTGCGCCGGGGCTGGCCCACCCGTCTCGTGTTTTAGCGTGAGATTTTGCTTGTGTCTGTTGTCCGGTGCTGCTGCTCATTCTCTCGCCGCAGTTGTAGCTGCGTGCTAGCGCTCAAAACGATACCCAAAACGATGCCAAAACGAAGCCCTCGGAACTGTGGCTGTCGCCGTGCGTGGGGGGTGGCCACAGTTTCTTTACGCAGCGTAGCTTGTCGCTTGTTGCCCCGCGTTCCTCCTTCCTCGTCCCATCCTTCTTGCTCCAATCCTAGTCTACTTCTTGCTTTCTGCACTAGCGCCTCCTCTTGGCTTGCCTTACTTTTACTTTACGGAAACATACTTATGTTCAGACACGTGTCAGAACGTGTGGTTTTGCCTGCATCGCGGAAGATTCGCGGAAGGGCGAGGCGGAAGGCCATTTTTGGAGCAAGGAATATTGGACAACCCTCATATATATATATATATATTTGTGTATACATATAATATATATATATATATGTATATTTGTATGTATGTATTCTTTTGCATACGTACCAGAACCCTCAAACTACCCATGAAAGGATTGTTAGGGGACCACCCCGGATACCCCAATCATAGCCTTGGTTATAACCTACGTAATCCGTTGATTCCAACTACCTGACCAAAATGGGTTATGGGCCAAGATGATGTCCCTTTAGTTTGAGGGTCCAGGTAGACATATTCAACACAGAGCTTCCTGTATATAAATATACACACGCATCTACAGATCGAGTTACATCTGTTTCTGTAATCTCCATACATACGCATATATAGTTGTATGTGTATGTGTGTTGTATGTATATATATATGCTTGGTAAGGTATACGTGTTTGTATGTTGTATGTATATGCATACATGTGCTTGGCATGGCAATGCAACTGCGCGCAAACGTGGCGCGATGCGGCACTGTTTGCCAACATGTTGACTGGCCATGCAGGAGACTTTCAACATAGAGCCCTTCTATGATCAACTCCCATCGCTTCGCAACAGGTAACACGTGCCACGTATTCTGTCAGGTTCCCCGAGTAGGTTGACAGCTGAGAGATGAACACAACCATTTGGCTGGGTGTTTCTTAAAGCCGGGGATCCCTGTTGTTTTTTTTGCGTATGGTTTGAGGGGAAACAGATCACATAGCCACCAGGGGCACCTGGTTTGTTTTCATCCCGTGCCCTTCAGCTTTGAGCGGTCTGACGGTCTCGGCCGCCAGAGCCCCTTCACGGGCTTAGGGCTTGGAATTGGCCACGGGCTTGAAGGCGCCATTTGCCATCCATAGCTAAACCCAATGACTATGTATATATGTGTGTTTTTCCAGACGGGTTCTTCCGGTAAAATCGCCAGCCTTACCACACAGCCAAACTTGCACGAGCCAACTTGCAACAGCCTTCTCACACACCCAGACTTACACGAGCCAACTTGCACGAGAACAACTTGCACGAGAACAACTTGCACGAGATATCACAAGACATGTCGACACGAAAGTAACGAGATATCATACAACCAAAACTTGCACGAGACATGCTGACACGAAAGTAACGAGATATCACACAGCCAAATAACACACAGCCAAACTTGCACAAGACATGTCGACACGAAAGTAACTAGTTAGTCTCTTAAGGCGGCGTGGTGGGACCGAACCCACCCTGCGAAAATGACACCCTCTGCGGGGATTGGTGTGGTCGAGGTGCAAAAACAGGACTTTTTGCGATTTCTAAGGTGCGCGCGACCCTCTGCGTGGATTGGCATGGTCGATGTGCAAAAACAGGACTCTTGACGATTTCTGAGATGCACACACGCACGCACGCACGCGCGCGCGCGCACGCAACACCAACTCTGGAGCAACCACTTCACTGTCGCTTGACTTGCTGGTCTTTGATCTGTTTCCAGTATGCTTTCGGGCCACGTGGTTCTAGTTGTTTTTGGAGGAAGCCCCTTTTGTCCAGTTTGAATCATTGAAAGGGAACCCACACATGTCAAAATATGTGTGCCTTATGTTTTGTTCTGTTTGTTGTACAAGCAATACGCGCATGTCACGGGTCCTGCTCTTTTGACACATGCCGTAACAATTCTAGGGGACGCTCCTGGGGAAACAGCTTGTTTTGAAAAAGAACGATGGAGGAATGGGGAATCAACTCCTAGAACAGTTGTCCGTTGTTTCCGGAAAATTGTTTTGGCAAGGTCAGCCTGTACGGATCCGCGCGAGCCCCGTGTCGCTGGCATGAGCCGGGAACGGAGAGGTTGCCCCCACCCCCCAACCACTGCTTTTCCCATGTCCACAATCCCAAGGACGTGGACCAAAAACAAGTGGTTGGGACCCAGATGCTGGCATGCGCTTCTTTCTCGTTTGCATGTGTTTTATGCGAGACACCAAACTCGAATCTGATTCGCTTCCGGATGGGTGGTTCGGATTGCTTTGATTTTCAGGTTTCCATTTGCCCGATCCCAAGGCCCAAAGGGTTGCGCCTGATCTTGCGGACTCTTCTTTACTTGTTGGTTCAACCAGCCGTCCGGTTCCAGAAAGTGTTTTTTTTTTTAATCGTTGTTAGTCTGTTAGCTATTGGCGATTGGGTTTCCATTTCACCCACAAGCTTAAACAACTTTTAGCCGGGGATCGGAAAAACGGACAGCCTAGCTTAGGGCAGCATGGGAGAAACTGCAGAGACAGGTCCCCAGGCACCAGAACCTCTGCTTGGCTTCGGTTTGGGGAGACTCAAGGCTTTGGTTCCACAGCCCAAAGTGGCAACGTGGCAACTGAGCAGACGGCAGATGTGACCTGAAATAGCCCAAGCTGTGATCGCATGAGTGAGATAGGCTCTAATACATATGGGGGCTCGTCCCCTTGTTTGGGATGACCCCGCCCAAAACGGCGGGCGGATCTGTTGTCCTTTTGGGTTTCCACGTGCAGCACACGCCCGTATCTAGGTCCCCCAGTAGTGCCCTTTTACCGTTTTTCGGGTTCCCCTACTAAAATAGACTACAGAAAAAGGGTACCCTGATTCTAAGCTCTCTACTGGAGGACCTACAGATGTATGTTCGAGCCAAGCATGAAAGGATGATGCGCAAAGAACCTGGCCACATCCACTTCTCAATAGGGTCACAAGCCTGAAAGCTCCTATTTTTTGTGATATTCCTTTTGACGTCCCTTGAAAACCACCAACAAATGGGCACCCTCCAAAAAAGTACACTGCCCATTTAGGAGATTCAAGGAACCGTGCCTTTTGAGGAATGGATGCAAGGCAAAACCACCAATCCCAACTGATGCCCATCGGTTCGCGTGGAATTGGTGCACAGGGCCGCCCCGGACCACCCCGGAGCCTATCTGGACTGAGACCCAAAGCTTTCAGCTGTTGGGGAAGAAAGTCATCGCAACTGGCGATCCAGGCGATAAGGTTGATTCTTCATTATTTTCAACCATCGCTCTTTTCAAAAACCAGCCATTTCCTCAGGGCTTTTGGTGGTTTTCTGGAAAGAAGGATCCCTTCAAACCCAACGCCTTCGGAGAAGACAGCGAACCGAGGAGTCTCGACAGCCCTCCACGCCGGTGCAGCTGTTGGCGCAGAACACGGAGTTTCAGGGTCCAGTCGGGAGGCCAAAAAGACGGGCAAGCCGTGTAGACGGGGCGGTGGGTTTTGCAAGAGAAGCCCGAAGAAAGAAACACCAGCATGTTTGTTGGGGGGGGGTGTCCCGTTTAAAAAAACCAGGCTGGCACAGATTAGACAAACAATCAAGCATGGATTTGTGCGGGTATTTTTTTTAGACATGGTTTCCTTTAAAAGCAATCCGCCATATCCCCGCTTTGGTTCCCCAACCAGAGCAACATGGGCTAGATCCTGATCAAAACCCAATAAAGGCAGAATCACATTGGTTCAAAGAACAGGTGTTTAAGTTACGCTTAAACAAGGCGTCTGCCCAATCCTATTGAAGATCATACTGCCCGAGTTGAGACCAGTGGTCAAGCTAGGGCAACCTTTCCAATGCGCGCTCTCGACAAAGAGAGCCACCATGAAAGCCGAAGCTTTGGGGGGCAATCCATAGCGTTCCGGCCTTTGGATTATCGTTCCCTTCTGGGATGTTCAATCAACTTGATAGGTTGTAACCAGGGGTATAGCTGGGTTGGGAACTGGGGTCGTTCCCCCTACCATGGATACAGCCTATATATACTAAGCAGCTTGAACACCCAAGTTGGGTAGACTTCAGCGGGTTTGGATTGCTCAAGTTGCCCTAAGAATCACCCAATTCAACCGAGTTGGTCAAGGCAAGTGCAGGAAGTGGCCCAAAGCCAACCAGCCAGGCCGGTGACATCGCCCATTTCGGCGACTAATTTGGGGGTTGGTATCCCTGTTGTTTCCCTTTGGTTTCCCTGTCAAACAACCCCGAAAAGGGTACCACCAAAGAAAGACACCCATAATATTGTGGGGCCCCCCGTGAGTTCCCCGAGCGGGTAGCGGGGGAGATCTTCTTTTGGCGAGTCGAGCTAAATATGCCATGGTCACAAGACCAAACCCAAGTAAGGGATGGTCATTCTAGGGGATGATTCCCCACTCTAGCCGTTTCCGCTGGGTTTCTGGAAGTGTTCTAGAAAGAAGGATCCCTGGAAAGAATGGGGAAGGTACCCCAAGAGTCATAGATTCCTTTGTGAGATTGACAACCAATGTGAAGGTTTTGTTCAGGGAACCATGACCAGCACCCTTCTTACCCCGCAGTGCTCGAGAGCTCTACGGAGTTCGGTTGGTTTTATGCTCTGGTTTTCCAGTCGTTCGCTGAGAGGACTGCGAGGACCCACGCCGCTGGCTCTTGCAGAGACGTTGCGCGCATGGCAAGGTGCAGGTTGCTCACACACTCTGAGATATGGCAGGTCCAATTTATGCTTCTGCTTCTGTGCTTTCTCGGAAAGCTCTATCAGAAGACGACTCGCTACGAGCCTCAGCGAAGGAAGGCAGGCGCCACTCACACAGCGGGCTTTCAGCATGGTCTCCGGCACCGATTTTCGCGAAAGGTCATGCGGGCGGGCTCTCTTCAGGTATCCGTTGACACTCAATTTATCTTAAGGCTTGCAACAAATTCCCTAAGAGAGCCGTTCTCCCTGGCTCTTTGATTCTAATGCAGGCTTTGAGCCTGATGCCCGTGAGAAGCCAACCCCATCAAATCCCAATGCGGTCCCATCTTGAGGGTTTCCTCAGAGCATGGCGCCTAGCCAGATCGTCCAGTCATGACGCGCACTGTAAGCCCCTCAAGAGATTCGTTGCTTTCCCTCCTCTGCAAGCCGCAGCAACAAGCCCTTTTCCAATTTGTTCACGAACGAAGGTTCTTGCGGAAGACGTTTTAAATTGACGTCCCAGCTTGGGAGGGCCGATGCCACCTTTACACGTTTTCTCGCATGGCAGCACCAAGCCCTGGGGAGTGTTTCCCGGAAAATCGACCGACCCATCAAAAGCAATGGCCACGGCCCTCTTGTGAGTCAAACCTTTTTAGCTCTCAAGATGGCCGTTGGGTCTGTCTGGAGTCTCCTGCTGACCCTTCAAACTGAGGTCATGCCCGCTTTCTCTTGGGTAACCAAGTTCCCCATGTTGGCTTTAAATGGGTTTCTATCACTACTGTTTCTATCACTACTGGAAAGCATGTTATGTTTTCCCGGGGACTTAAGCAAACGGAAGCAAAGTCGTGTTCGCAAGGATAGACCCTTTCAATCGTAGACGTTCCGCTGCTCAACCAGGAGCACACTGTCTTGCATACATGCCGTCTTCTAGTGTTCAGGGGACGTAAAAGAAAATGAGAGGAACTTGGGTGCTCAGTTTGTAAGTTGTTTGTTTAACCCCAGGTTATAACCCCCCTCTTAGTCCCTCTTGTTTCATGTGGGGTACACAACTTGTTAGGTGAAGCGCCAAGCAGTCCCTGAGTGATTAGTTTTGAACCACAACCAACTCAGCTTCCTTCTAATTAGTTGGTGGTCCCATTTCCTTGAATACCGTGGATGGACGAAATCCTGCACCAATTTGAAACTATGGGAAACCATGGTTTGTTGGTATTTTCAGGGGAATCATCCTTCCAGGGTTTCTGAATTTCTGGTGCGAAATGGCTTTTGCAACCATCCACAGCATGAAAGCAAGGGAACTTCGAGGAAACCGTATAAACACCGCACGGGAACAGCTGACAAAACCATCGGCCCCACTTTGATGGTTGGGCCACTACCTTTTTCTCAGCAGGTGTTGAACACATGGTTGGACAAATCCTCTTCTCAAGGCTTCCCTTGAAGGGCGAGCCAGGTTTTCGGTTTCGGGCCCAGCTCGCTTGCCCAAAAAATGGCCCTTTGAAGCACCTGGCTCAGCAAAAGTTTCGCCCAAAGCTCCGGATCCCGCGGACCTTTTTTTTTCTTCTTTTTTCCGGGGCCGAAGTTGCGGCCAAATTTGAGGCGCAGGTGAAGCTGTGGACAAGCTTTACGACCCAGCCGGAGCCCCAGGCCGACTAGCTACTGGGTCTGTGTTTTTGTTTGTGTTTGGTTTTATTGCGTGGTGTTTTTTCTTTTCGTGTTTGCTTATGTTTTGTTTGTTCTTTCTTTTTTCTTTTTTTTTGGGGGGGTTCTCATTAGGAATCCTTGTCCCCTAAATTTCATTGGACGGATCGCTGACCTGAAGTTTTTGCCCTTGGGTTTGCTTCATGTTCCTTTCGGCAGCAGGTGCCACACTTTTTGCAGGGGGGCGGATCAGCCTAGTCAAGAAAATGGATGGTGATTACCTTGAACTACAAGAAGGGAGGCCGCCATTTTGACAGAACCCGCCATTTTGAGAGAACCCACCCCCTATATTTCTTTGCTGAGGTAAAACGCCTCTTTTAGAAAGTCTCACAAGGTTTCCTTTTGGACAGACAATGTTTTCCGCAACCTCTCAAAGTTAGGCAACCCCCGAATGGAATCCATTGAGCTTGCTCGAACCATGAGTCCTAAACCGGTCCTTCAGGTGTTCAAGTCCTTTGTCCCGTAACAGGGTCCCACAAGAGGCACCTTCGCAGTGACAGGACCCTTCCAAAGTCCAAGGAACACGTCAAAGTACTGGGCCTTCCCCAAGAAATCATCAAGAAACCATCAAGCAACCATGGTGCAGTGGGCGCACGCTTCTATTTGGTGTCCCTGTAAGCCAACTTGAAAAGGGCACCCTTCAACAACCACTCGTGCTCGCTTGCGGGAGCTCGGGTGCTTGTGATTGGCTTGTGCTTTGCGTGCGTACTTGGCTGCCCTGGAATATAAGGGTTGCACAGCCAGTAAACCCTGTTTGGGAGGTCCACAGCCCCTAGTTACTTCCATTTGCTTAAGAATATGTTTTATTTTCCCCTGTTGGTTTTGAAGGGAATCTATCACTGCTGGGAATATTGATTGCTTCCAGGGGGCTTAAGAAAATGGCAGGTTAGATAAGTCTTAGATAAGGCTACAACTCAGTTAGGTGTCGCAACCGCTGTGTTTACAGATTCGCTGACAGATATGATCCTAGATGAGAATAGAAGCGAGGGAAGAGTCTGTGCATGATCATTGATTTGCTCCAGAACTAATAGGCGAGTTTATCATGAGTCTACTCTGAAGGGGGCGACAATGAGCGCCCCACCCCACCCCACCGATCACACAAACAAGCAAACAAACAAACAAACAAAGCAAAACGAAACAACATAAGTCAAGCTCACAACAAAAAGCAAGGCAAAAACAAAAGCAACACACACACACATGCATTCGCAAACACAAATTGCAACCCACCCAAGCGGTTGTGCACCAACATTAGAACACACACTGTGAGCAGATTAAAGGGAGACCAAACAGAAAGCCAACCGTTTCACTGGGTATCGAACATGAATATGTGGCAACATGTGGCAAGCTTTGTAGACTTGCTCGGGCTTACACCCTGCTTATCTAGTCGTGTCAGTGTGGGCATCTCATTTTCTGACACTGACAAGAATCGGACACAGACCATGACGATGAGGACGATGAGGACGATGATGACGATGATGATGATGATGATGATCTCCTGGCAGGGTTGTGGCAGTTCGCCTTCACCCACGAACCCGTTGTTTGTTTAGTTGGATCGCGTGTCCTGCTGTTATTCATGCGGTCTCCCATGCCTCCCACATTTGTGGTTTCCACGGCTTTCCGGGAAAGACAGTTTTGTCAGGAAGACTACATGTGTGTGTGTGTGTGTGTCTTGTTGGAGCACCCTCAAACTACCTGCAAAACAGGGAATTCAGCTTCAGACACCCAAGCGGAGCAATTGAGGGTTCGCCGACACCCCAACCACTGTCTTGTGTTGCCGCACCACTGGGATTTTGGACATGGGTTGCCAGGCGAACGCCAAGTGGCTTGGGCATAGGTGTCCTTTTTTAGTCTGCATGAAGCTGGTTTAGACTGGCATGTTCAACCTACTTAGTAGAGAAAACCGGGGTTGCCCTTAGTTGCCATGGTGATCGCCTAGTAAGTGGGTTGAACTTCCAAGTTGGGTGTCTTTCCGGCTCAGGCCCGGCAACAACACGGATCTGGGCCTATTGGAGATCCCGGTGACCGAGCCGGGAGCACACGAATCGGGGCTTCGCCGAAGGGTGAACGGATCGTGGCCGTGGATGAGTGCCCTCCGTTTCCTCCGAACGGTTTTTGAGTCGATGCCCCGTTAAAGGCAAGGACATGTTCGAAGGGGTGCGCTCAAAATCATCTGCTTTCAAAAAGGCGCGCTTAGAATTCACCACGTGTTCCTTCCTTTTACCAGAGAACAAGTGCCGTCAAGTGCCTTCTTGTTTTTCCCATGGCCACTGGATGTCTGGGAATATGCATTTCTGGCGAGCTCACGATGGATCCGGGGCAAAGCGGGCGGAAAGAACAACATGATGAAGGTCCAGGTGGGTGAATGCTTCCAAACTGAAGATACATGGTTACCTGGAAATCTCAAGATGGGTATCTAAAAGGCTTCTGCCATATGGATGACAGTTCATATGCATTGAAGGATCCCATTGTCGACTCGCGCTGACAGATGGGTGTTTTCCACTATGCTGCGTACTTGAAACTTGCAAAGCCTAGCACTCCTTCAAATGGAGGTGGTGATGCTGGATTTGTTTGAAATGTAGCACCAAGGCTTCTTGGTTTCGAAATAGCAGATGCGCCATAAGGCTTGCTCGATGTTATGCTTTGCCTGGAGCTTTGCTGACTTGCCACATAGATGCTGCGGGATATCCCTGTAGCATTTGCACTGAGCGAGCTCACCGACGGGTGGTTTGCGCACTCATCAATACTTCCCCTTTGTGGAGATGTCTCAATTCTTGTTGAGCTACGGAAGGCTGTGCAGATGGATCTGAGCTTCAGGCGCATTCGTGCCAAACTTGGAATGCGTGCAATAAATGCTAGCGACGATTCTGTGCACATACACCCTCACGTATATGATATGGGTGTGTCTCATACTTAAGGAACCTCACAAGTGCTGGTTGCTTCTTTGCTTGCCCCGTATGTCGATCCCAACGGGCATCCAAGGTTTTGTGGGGCTTAGTGGTAGTTTCCACAAAACGACTAAAAGTTAAACGTTTAGCAGGGGATCATGAAAAACGGACAGCCCAGGTTCTACTTACCACAAACATACCCAAACATTGGTGAAAAACAAAAAGGGCGCTATCGGGGCACAGGGACGATCTAGGCCACCCCAAGCCCATATGTGATTTGCAGGTCTTGGGTTTAGTAGAATCGGAGAAAAAAGAGCATATGTGGCTGTGTTTTGTTTGAGGATTCCCTTTTTGGGGGTTGCTCTTAAAGGGAAATCTCCCAGTCTGGGTGCCCCCTATTTTGGGACCAGCCCATGTCTCGCTGAGGTTGGGCCTCTTGCTGAGTGCGCCAGTCGTGGACTACTCCGTGACCTTCCCTCCGGGCCTGATGCAGAGAGCCCCAGGTGGCCCGAGTCGACCAAGACTCCCTACCCGTCTCAATGGGTTTTCCCAAGGTTTTTGCCTGTTTTTTTTGGGGGGGCCGTCTCCATGGGTTTTCCCAAGGCTTTTGCTTCTTTTTTTTGGGGGGGGGCCGTCTCCATGGGTTTTCCCAAGGCTTTTGCCTCTCTTTTTTTTTGGGGGGGGGCCGTCTCATGGGTTTTCCCAAGGTTTTTGCTTCTTTTTTTTGGGGGGGGCCGTCTCCATGGGTTTTCCCAAGGTTGTTGCTTCTTTTTTTGGGGGCCAGGCCCGTGTTTCAAGGGAGATCGCACTAGTCCCAGCAGGTGTGGGACGCTGGTCAGCTTCTCAGGCCCATGGGAAAAACCCATGGGTGAACCAGGAACTCAATCGCCATCGATGTTCAAACAAAAAAGGACATCTCCTGTGTCCCCCAGTAGTGCCCTTCTCTCCCCTTTTCTGGGGGAGGGTTCCCTTACTAAACTAGACTGCAGAAGAAAGTTGGTACCCATGCTCAGGCCAAGCAATTGGCTGTTAGATCCTCAGGCTCAAAACCTGCCCTTGCAGAGGTGAGCAAATACCGATGCCGAGCTCACCTTGGGTTCATGCAAGCCGAGTGATGCAGGACCCATTCTTAGGGATGATTTGCACGCAGTGATGTATATATATATAATATGTTTTGCAGTATATAATTATAGGGAAGAAGCCCCTTGCAAGGTACCTTACATGCTTGAAACTTTGCACGCGTCGAATCGCCGTCTTCTGATCTCCGTTCTTATGCGGTGTTTGCATGTGCCCGCGGTGGTCATGCTTGTCGTATACCCCCTTGCATTCTATGACTGCCTTCCATATGCTCGCAGGATCCCTTGGTGCCCTGTGAGGATGTTTTTGTTGATCTATCTACGTATTTTATTTGTCAACTTGCTTTTTGTTTGGGGGGGGATCAGGGGCAACGTAGCTCTTTGGGTACCAAGGGAACCTCTCGGTTCCCATCTCAAAGGCGCAATTTCCAGGTCGGCGTCGGCATCATGCCAAAACCGGAACACGCTGGCGTGCTGCTCCTTTTTTGAGGCCTTGGGCATGGGAACCGGAGCATGCTTGTCCCACAATACCAGGTTCAAACCTAAGTCAAGAGTCCATTGGGCATCAGAACATGCTTGTCACAGGTGAAGAGTCGTTGGCCATCAAGTTGCAATTCCCAGATGAAGCATCCTGAACCTGCAAGCTACCCAAAGGCGATTGCAACCCGAGAATTCTGGTGGTGTCCCTTTGGTGAGGGTACTAGGTCCCCCAGTAGTCCCCTTCTCGCCCCTTTTCTGGGGGAGGGTTCCCCTAAAATAGACGCCCAGAAAGAAGTTGGTACCCTTCTAAGCTCTCTACTGCAGGACCTAGTTCCCTACTGTTTGTTCATTATGGTAATTATATTTTGTCTGATTATAACATGTTAAATGATTGATTTGATATAATAATTCATTCATTGTCCCTTTCTTACGGGTAGTTTGAGGGTCCAGTGTTTGAAATCCAGCTTTCTCCGAGGCTGAGCGCGTACTTCATCGACCCCACGGAGGCGCCGCGACTTCGTTCCGGAACTCGGAGGTCGGTGGTACAGCTGGAAGCTAGTGGGTTGGTCTCTGCCCAAATGGGATCCTTCGGGGTGGTGGGTTCCGGACCTGGGCTGGTTTGGGGCAGCTTGGTTCCAGGAATTTTCGGGGCTGTTGGTGGGGGATACCGCCTGGGCTTATTCTTGTTGCTTCTCGCCCTGTTTTCCACCGGCGTGTTAAACAGTTGCACATCCTCACTTGTTCAGTGGCTCCAATTCTTTTTCCCTTGTTGTTTGGTGGCTGCCCCAGTAAAAATTCCGTCTTCCCAACAAAGGGTGCCCTTTTTGTCTCCAGGGTCACTGAACAACTGAGGCTCCAGCCGGAAAAAGCCTCCCGAGTTTGGCTGGGGTCCACAAGCTTTCCGTTTAAAATCGCGACGCCGGGGTTGCGGTATCTGGTGTCGTGTTCGGAAGCTGCAAGATGCAGCTGGACCCGACAGAGCGCCCCATAAAAACAGGGAAACAACCCCATAATTTAGGGGCAAGAACTCCTTTGTCGGGTAGTTTGGGGGTCCAGGCAGGACCTTGAAGGCGAAGCCCGACGCAAGCGTGTCAAAACCGAGAAACCAGGCTGGATTCATTGTAGAGGATATTGCCGTGAAACTAAGAAGTGGGGAGAGTCCTCAGTTTGGACACATTGTGTATGGCTTTCCAGCCCAGCATATGTTCAGACAAGCCCCAGTAGTTCAAACCCTGAGGGGCACTTCCGGGGTGCATTGCCCAACTGTTCCCGGGCGTCTCCTGGGATTTACTACCCGAATGGACTTTGTGCAAACGATGGCTGCAAGTTTCAACTAGGGATTGGTTCACCTTGTCTCAAGAGTCGTCAAAGTTGCAACGTCCAACAGGAGCTTGTGTGAAACGTGGGCGTTTGAGACATGTTCAATTCAAGAGGTTGACAGTGGGTGTTGAAACATGTGGAAAACCCGCGCGTCGACTTCTAGGGCTCCCTGTTCCTCTCTCGGGTGGTTTAAAGCGTTTTTCAGGCCAGTCCAAAATAGTGTAGACTGTGGTCAGAAGGACACAAGTCGTGATTGTTGGGTTGATTAGTTGTAAATGGTAGTTGTTTTGTTTTGAGAACAATAAAGGGAAAGGGTGTTGTTTTTTGCCTAGCCCTGGCACAGGGCTAACCCTGGCAGGTGGTTGGTTGGTTGGTTGGTTGGTTGGTTGGTTTGTTGGTTGGTTGGTTGGTTGGTTGGTTGGTTGGGTTGGCTGGCTGGCTGGCTGGCTGGCTGGCTGGCTGGCTGGCTGGCTGGCTGGTTGGTTGGTTGGTTGGTTGGTTGGTTGGTTGGCGGCTCGGTGGGACAAAGGTTTGGGACGGGTTCAGGGTGGGTTCAGGGTAAGCTTGGGGTAGTCCGTTTAGGGTAGGTTCAGGCCCGGCATCGTTTTAACATCCTCAGCATCGTTTTCAGCATCCTCAGCATCACCAGGTTTTGGTTCTTAGGGTGGGTTCCAGGTTGGCGTTTGGAGCCAGCCTAAGCCAAAACCTGGTGATGCTGATAATGTTGAAAACGATGCTGAGGATGTCAAAACGATGCCGGGCCTGAACCAGCTTTGAACGAACTACCCCAAGCCTACTGTAAACCTACCCCAAACCTTTGTCCGTTAGTGTCTCCAGGCTGTGCCAGGGTTAGGCTAATGCCAGGGCTATGCAAAAAAAAAAAACACCTCAGCCAACAATAAAGCAACTACTGAATCAAACTAATCTTCCTTGTGGTGTGATATTAGGTCACTGCGCGCGCGCATTAAGGGCCTGAGAGACGTGAGGCGGCGCCGGTGGAGAAAGGCTTGCTGGTGAGGGGCACCAACTCCTTTGAGGCAGGGAAGCCGTTTGTAGAACTTCGCGGTAAGGATCCCTGGTGTTCTTTGTTGATAGTTACCCTCTTTGGGGGTGGCTTTGCAAGGGAAAAGGAAACACACCAACAACCTTCAGGGTCCAAAATTTGAGGCTACCTACTATAGTGGCTTGCCTGGAAGTAATGGGATGGATGAAATATCACAAGTTGGTACCTGGGGAGGTGCTTTTCCCCCTTTCACCCGCCAACCTCCGCGAAGGGTACCAAGGGACTACTTTTCGGCCTTTTGCCTTTTGGGTTTTCCTCGCGACTTCAACTGGCAAAAAGTCAAGTCAGCAAGTTCAGTTGCAGGGGCCCCGTCAAAGTTTGGTCAAGATTTGGTATACCCCTTCTAGCGCGAAACCAAGAGGATGGCCAACAATGCGATTGGTACCCTTGAATTGGAGACCCATCATGTATCGTTCCTTGAGGATGGGGGGCTAAAGGGAAGTCTTGCTTGGGCGTTCGATTCGCCAAGTTGGTAAGTTGTTGGTAACTTACATGTCCCCCATGAATGTGGGGGTTTACAACTTGTTAGGGGGTGAGAAAACCAACCCATCGGCTAACCACAGACGTGAACAAAACGGCGAATCGAAGATGGAAGTACCTCAGCTAGGTCCCCCAGTAGTGCCCTTTTACCCTTTTTTGGGGGAGGGTTCCCCTACTAAAATAGACTACAGAAAAAAGTTGGTACCCCTATTCTAACCTCCCTATTGGAGGGCCTAGTCAGGTACCTCAGGTAAGGGGCCCGGGAAATGCCTTGGTTGGAGGATGGGAGGTTGTTGGAAGGTCATCGCCTTTTGATTGAGGTAAACCATGGGGATGTTGGACACGGGAAAAAGCAGCAACTGGGGGGGGAGGGGTGCTGGATGGTTTTGGTTTCGGTCTACGAGACCAAGGGTTCCATGTGGCTAGCGACCTCCTTGGTCCCCGACTTATGGCCGTGTGCAGGTGGCGCCCTCCATGCTGCTCCGAGTGCCCAAGATCAAGGCGGTGTATCCTCGGATGGTGCCATGGCCCCTCGGCTTGACATGTCGAGAAGCCCGGACTTGAAGCTAGGTCCCCCAGGATCGTGCCCTTTCTCACCCTTTCTTTTTTGGTTGGGAGGGTTCCCCTACTAAAATAGACTGAAAATAGGGTAATTAACCTCTCTACTGGAGGACCTAGGAAGGAACCCTCAAGCAATCACCCATGACGAGTTTTTCTTTCCAGGGAAACCCAAACAGGATGAACATTTTTTGTTGGTCCATCTCCCTCTTTGACACGAAGAATGGGGCAGCCGGGCAGGTTTTCCTCGCGCCTTTTCGTGGGCAACCGAGAACTCAGATGTGCAACCAAGACTCTTTTTGCGTCGTTCTTTAGATGTCCGCGGAAACTTGTTGGGACTGAGAGATGCTCCCAGCGGGTCCAGCCCGCAGGACTTTTACCCTCAACCCTCAACCTACCTATAGGTTATTGCTCCAAATTGTGGGGTGGTTTCTCTTGTTCATGGGTAGTTTGAGGGTCAAGGTAGTATACCTTGGTTATTGCTCAGATTTGCTCAATATTGTGGGTGGTTTCCCTTTAGGTAGTTCTTGCCGACGTTTTGGCCAGAGTGCTTTGATTGGCATCAACGGTCGGTACCCAATAGAAGCTGGGCTGTTCTGAGTCATGGGACCTTGGGCTCGGACGCGGTCGCCTTTGCAGAGCTAGTTACGTCACCCCACTTGGCCCTGCCAACCGCCAGGCGCGGGTGTCTTACTTAGTGTCTTACTTGGCATGAGTTGGACGGGGTAAGGGAAACCGAGGAATGTGCCACTGGTTTCGTCAAAGTGGTGGCATTTTCTTGCTGGTGCCCCAGTAGGGCAGGGAATGTGGGCATGACCCCCATAAACCCTCCAACTGGTGGTTTTCTTTAAGGGGACCCCTGGGTCCATTGACTCATTCCCTACTCATCGCACCAGCAAGTTTTGAGGGGTTCTCAAGATTGCTCTTGGGTGTGGTTTCCCTGTCACTTTGCACGTGGCAAGGATTGACAGAAGCCGCCGGGTCATCAACCAGGATGAGGCAGCTGGCAGAGATCCAGTCGGGGGGCGGGGGTGGGTCTGGGTTCGGAGCATGAGAACGTGACCCGGAGTTCCATGACCCCTCAAGCATCGGGCCACGGCATCTTTCTTTGGGATGTGTGACCTGCTTTGAGGGTCATCGAGACTCTAGGGTATACAAATAGTTTAGGCCTACAGTGTAATAATTAGGGCGAACGTCGGCTTCAGAGTATCCCGGAACTCTTTCTCAGCTTACCATGGGCATGCTTGCTTCAGAGCCCAAATTCTAGGAACAATTGGTTGCCAGAGCAAACGTCCAGCCAACAGAACTGACCCTGTCCTTCAGTTTGAGAAAAAGGAGCGGAGGCTCAAAGAGCGGCTGTTGGCACACCCATAGAGTGAGGGGAAGGCCCTGACCAACCCAAGAAAAGACACCCTACTCGCACGCCCACCTACAGGGATTTGGATGTGGATTTGAACCCCTGGTTCTTGTAGAGGTGGTTGAACGTGGGAAGCGGAGAGTTTGGGGGGAACCATCCAGAAACCCACCCAAAATGGGGGGGGAGGCAGTTGGGCCTTGGTTGTCCCCTGTGTTTGGCGGTTGTTTCACGGAAACCAAAAGGAACACCGTTGCGTCATTTGGGTGTCCAACACGTGGACCCTCGAACTACACTTAACAAGGTGACACCACCCCACATTATTTTTGGGGGCAATTCGGGGCAATAACTCACGTTCCACCCATTTGGCTGTGGCTCAAATAAATGCACCAAAATGGCACCTTGGTAAATTGAACCAAAGACTGAAACCTGCGTAAGCCTAGCTCTTGAATTTTGAGATATTTTGAGCCACACCCATTTCGGAGATTTGTCTACTCTGCCGCGCGCTCCTCCGCGCGGTCCAGGACCCCAGCTTGCTGGCGCTGGGCTTGGGCTTCGTGAACACCAACCGCCTCTGCTGCCAGCTGGTGGACGAGGCATCGATTTTCCTTTCAGTTGGATTTCGAAGCGGAAAAACGATCCTTGCTTCATGATCCGGGGCAAGCTACCGGAGCATTCCAATGCTGAGGCATTCCTGGTTCTCAAGGCGTTGGAGGCGATTTAGGCGCTTTTGCGTATTTTTGCTGCCTTTTTCTTGCGGGCGCTTGTTCCTTTTTTTGCGCGTGTGTTGCGGAACGTTGCAGGAATTCCTTGACGTTGGAATCTCTGGGTAGTTTTATGTACCCAGTCTTCTGACCCGAATCAAACATGGGGATCATTGAAATCCCAAAAGGAGGGGGTTATGAATCGAAGTAGCGTGTTCCCAAACTTAAAACTCCTCGTTACAAACGTCACCACGAGAGGCTACGAATTCCCAGTGAGGCTGCCGTGGTTTCCTTGCAGGGTTCTCAAGGGTAGGCACAAGTAGGGCGCAGAGGTGATGGTGCCCCCAGACCGGCGACATCATACTTGTATCGCTTTGGTTGAATCTAGAAAATCACACATAGTAGTCAGGGGTGCCCTTCAAGTTAGGAGTTCATCCACTTCACGCGATGTCTCGCATAGGTATGGTGCGTAGTTTGTTGACCCTGGCTTACACGTTGACCCTGGCTTGCATATTTTGTTCAACATACGCAAACCCGGTGGATAGCTGTTCTGCAAAACAGTGTATACCCTATCCACGAACACGGAGTCTGACTGGGGATTGCCCCAACCTGGGGTGATGTCACCCTTTTTATGGGTACCTAGAGTCTCCATGACCCTTAAACGATGGGTCCATGACCCCTTCATTTTGGGTCACTCCCCCATTTTTGAAGGGTCATGGAGACTCGAGGTAATGTCTTTCGGCCCAGGTGCCCTCACAATTCCCCCCCGCCAACAAACAACTCGCCAGATGAACCGCGCCTGGGCCTCGCCATATGTCATCTTCATCAGCGCCACGCAGGCGCGATGGTTGCCACTGGAAGTCTGGGCCGGGTGCTGGCAACAGGGACGTCTTGCAGGGCCCATTTCTGCAAACTGTTTATCCTTTGGCTTCAAACAGGAGAACCCCTAAGACAAAACGGGGTTTTGTTTGGATTGAAATAGGGGAACGCGTAAACATGGTACTTTGAGTTGGTTTCAAATTGGGGAAAGCATCCAGACACCGGTCACCCACAGGCGGGCTCCTTTAACATCGACTACGGCAAAACAGCGCCAAGTCTGGTTCTACTACAGCCACTGGGGGGGCTGGGAGGATTGTGTTACCTAAGGGCAGACTAATCTGCACTGTTCTTGGCAAGTTGTTTGTTTTTGCGTGTTTTTGCGTGTTGTTTGGTTCTGTGTATTTTGTAGCAGGGGGCTGCAAAAATAAAGCAAATAGGATCCCAGACTTCCCTAACAGCGTCAAACGTTCTGTAAGCAACGCTCCGCATTCATTCTCACCGGTTTGTGGTGGGCATGACTCCAAGCTACTTTTGCGGCGTCCAAATGCGTGCCTGGCACAATATTGCATTTGCCAAAGGGGATGCGTCAAAAGTGGGGATCTCTTCTGTTTTGTTTGGCGGCTTTTTAGTGGAAACAAGCGACTGCGACCTGCCGTTTGGGAGGTTCCCTGGTTTCTCCCCATAGGCTTCCCCGGCTAGGCTCGTTCATATGCTTGCGGCTAAACATGTTGACCAAGCATGGGGCATTTGCAACTTATATAAGCTACAACATCCTACCACTGGTTGGTTTGAACCATGTTACCACAGGCTCTCAAGGGCGGGACAATCATCTAACAGGGGACCACCCAATCCAGGACACAAGGAACCCTACCCTCCGCACTTGACGTGTCAATTGTCACTTTCATCTGCAGGAAAGGCAATGGCATCGGCCACTTACGGCACATTTACCAAATATCCATGAAACTATGCGGGGAGTTCACCGAAAGTCAATCTGGTTGATGGACACGACACGACAAATCATGCTTGTCTCTGAAATAGATCTCCAACAGTTTGCTTGCGGAAACTATTCTGGGTGCAGCATGTATTAATTTTCCGAAGGTAAACCACAAGGGCAGCGGGAATCTTCTCATTTTGTCAGATTCCCTTTCTAGTGCCCAGTGCCAATTGTTTGCGTTACTTGCTGGGCGCGCAATGTATTTTGACCGCCCGCAGGTTCGATGCGGGCTTCCGCCACATGAGCTTCCAGGATGAGTTTGGTCATGGTTTGAGCTTTACTGGTTGGTGAGTGATTGCGGTTGGAGATGAGGGGCTCGCTTCCTGATGGGATTTAGTCACTGTTGGGTTTTGACCATTTTAGTGGCATACAATCAGCTTAGTTTGGTTACGTTTCTGGCCGATTCACTCTAGAAGCGAGTAACTATGCGGGGTACCATTGAACTAAAATCAGTCATAACGATGGAACTTCATTTGACTCGGTTCCCTGTACTACCCTGTCCATGCGTGCTGACGGATTCTGTCCAGAAATCCGCCAAAGAATCAGGGAGAAGTCATGGATTTTGAACAGAACCATGGATGCAAAGCCTTGGATCTTTCGGTGTCCTCCTAGAAACATTGAAGCGACCGCCGCAACTCTTTTTTTCTCCGAAGGATCAACTGTCACATTGGTATATTGGTGCATTGGGTGTGCAATATGCTGACCCGGTTGATTTGTTCACGACATTGATCTGCAAAGCTGTCATGGCTCCCAGTTTCTGTATCCCACTTGGTCATGGCAAGAGAAGCGCTCACGGTCATCATCTTTTTCTGTTGGGGTGAGGCTTGTCTAGGCTGGAGGTGCCTGTCCCGAAAGTTAATCCCAAAAGTAAGACACTTCTTATCCGGTACCCCGACAGTTTGGCGGTTTGGGTTGAGGGAGGGTATCATCATGTTCGTTCGTGTATTGCTGTTTGATTCAGCCTTCAGGTAACCCTCGGTTGATTTGGATTGGCGGTTTGGGATTCGAAGCCTTGGTTCTTGCATCTTTTTTCTTGGGCCAAGTTGGGCGCTGCGGCTCCCCTAGCTTTGGGAGGTGTTGAGCTTCTGGAACGTGCGGGGCATCGTGGTTTGGACCCTCATGTTGATGTTGCCTTAGTAAGGCAACCGAAGATTGCCCTAGAAGAAAGCTCAGCCAAGGCAGCACTCTTTGGGGATACTTGCATGTTCGGCCAAGTTAGATGGTTAGCCAATTGAAGTACAACCCCCTAAGAAGTGACAAGGTTAACCTCACTTGTCACTGGGGGGACCTTTAAGTAGGTTCCCAACGACTTGCTACTTGGCCGAACGTCCAAGTATCTACGACATGAAGCTTGTTCTTTTTTACGCCGATGGCTGCAGAGCGCCAACAAACCGTAGACTCTTGGACGCGTTTTGCAGCGCAGGAAGCTCCAACGTGAAGTTGCAAGTCTCCAACGACGGAGTCGAGTGGTCGCAGGAAAGCTTCCAGGCCGGACCGCTTCTTGGGAGTCGTGCAGAGCTTTGTGCAAGTCTAGTGAGCAACGGCGACATTCTAACTAGGTCCCCCAGCAGTGCCCTTTTAGATGGTTCCCCTACCAAAATAGACTACAGAAAAGAAGTTGGTACCCTTATTCTAACCTCTCTACTGGAGGACCTAGATGACATTCTAAGGATGCACGTGGCAAGATGAAGTTGCACTGAACAGAAGCTTGGCAAGAGGTAACTTCCCCACTCTTTCCAGGGATCCTTCTTTCTAGAAATCTACTAAGCACTCTGGGGAACTGGCTGGTTTTTGAAAAGAACGATGGGTGAAAAGAATGGTTGGAATCAACCCCCTAGAAAAAGCGAAAGGCTGCCAACTCGGAGGCTTGCGGAAGCTGACTTGATTCATGCAACATCAAGATCAGCAGCATGGTTTGAAGATGCTTGAATGTTGACCGCCAGACCGTGTCCTTTTCATGGCCTGCGTGGCAGTTATTATTATTTTTTCTGGCTATGCATGCCTTGGAAGGTTTTCTGCCGTCGATAAGGGCACCTTACATCAAAGGCAGCACAGACATTGTCAGTGGATGAATCTGGCTACAGATTGCAACTAAATATTGGTACTTCGCACAAGGAGTACAACTTGGGTCTTCTTTTTGTCCGACTTGTTATATCTTGGGCATTTCCTCTAAGGGTCCTCCGGCTCCTTGAAATCAAGTTGTTTGCGTCTGGCAGGTGTACATCATCTCCGCGCTTGAGCTCAAGCAGGACGGGTGCCAAACAGATTGTGAATGCGACTTCTCGGATTCTCGGTGTTGGCTTTGTGTCAGAAGTCGAGGCTTTTGGGACAGTCACGCCAGGCAAAGCGCATGGGGTTGTTTGTCAATTATTGGAGAGATCCAGTTGACACCCGGATGAAATTTGCCGTGGTTTCTGGTTGTGACACTGCCGAAGCCTATGTCTTGGTCTGAAGTAAATGAGCAGAACTCATGTCTTGTCAACGGGCACTTTGAGGATCGCAATTACGTTGTTCTTTTGATCGGAGAGGTGGGTTGCTTGAGTCGTATCGAATCGATCCACGCCTTTTGGGAACTGAGCTTGCATTCCTTCAGGCTGCACCAAGATTCCTTGTGAGGAGACATGTCTGTTTTCTGGAAAGGATACAAAGGCTTTCGTGATTTCAGGACACAGCCATGCGGTCTTGAAGGAATAACTATCTACGTTCCGCAGTGGCCTGTTTGTGTGTGTCTGCGTGTGTGCCTGAAAGACACCCGCTCATATACGGCTTACTGCATAGTTTGGTATCCCGAGTTCAACAGGAAGAAAGCTGGGGCAAGGAAATCTCTAAGGGAGAGCACATTGTCCTAGCTAGTTGCCCCTGCAAATGAACACAGAGCCCCCAAAAAGGTCCCCCAAAATAAGAATGCAGGCTGTTGAGTTCCATGTCCGTGTCAGCTCTGCAGGGGAGTATTCTGCCTTTTTTGCGAGCTCACATGTGGCAAAACGAACTGGCCGTGATGTAGGTCTTTTACTTGGGTATCCTTTATCTCAAGTTGAGCTACTATTGTAAAAAGATAGTTACACCCAGGAGATCCCAGTTGCCCTTAAAGTACTTGGTGGCTCCCAGCCATCCCCTCAGCCTCTTAGCTTTTTAGTGTTTAGTGGCAGTTTTCATTTAACCCAAAAGTTAAACTTCTAGCGGAAAATCTGAGGGCAGCCCAGAGTAGGTCACCAAGAGTTCTACAAAGCAGGGTATAAATGGATCCACTGGGACAGAGTACTTTTCGTGCCAGCTCCTTTTCTCGCTGCTTGCAAGGTGAGTCTGGCACCTGCCTTCGGGGTGATGACGGGACAGAATGCAGTGCAGGCAGGGAAGCCGTCTGCGGGTCACTCCGCGGGTGAAGAAAGAAGAAGCTGAAAACACAAATCTATGCATACGTTGTTGAAGCTGGCCCTCAACGAGGTCAACCACTTTTGGCACCTTCCCAGGTATGTATGCAGAAAGGTTCATTTGTTCAAAGGCATTGATGTATGGCTTGCAAACGTAGGCTATATTAAATGTGTGCTGCAGGTCTTCAATGACGACAGCGGAGAAAAGCTCGGTGTCCAGTCGCCAGCTCCCTTTTGGTTTGTTCAACGAAAGGCTTCGCCTCCCTGTTCAGCGCGGAAGTCTCAGATTATGCATGGGTCATGATCTAGGAAACCCGCTCGGGCCCCGTAATACCCGAACAGATGTGACTTGGGGCTTCATCAATATTCCCTGGTGCCTTCAAGGCCCCCAAATGACCATGGGTCAGAAATATCATCTTGGTAGTGGTTTTCTCTATGGTCGGCCCTCACTCGACCATGGGTAACTGTTCTCACGTGGGAGATATTGTTTTAACGGTTTTCCCTATTGGTCATCCTATGTAAAGGACCTTTTCATCTCCCCCCACATTTGAACCCTGCAACCTTAGTGTGATTTACGAGGGCCCGTATCAGGGGGCAGGGTACCAGGCAACTTTACATTGGGTCAAGAGGGCTCAGTGCCTTCAAACAATTGAGCCCATTGGCGCCTCTGGGGGGTGCCTTGATCCGTGTCTTGTAGCTAAAGAGCTTGGATGACACAATCAAGCATGCAGCAAGTACATCAGAGCAGGCTTTTATGGGTTGCTGCTCAGCCACCATAATTGTGGGTTGGCAATGGGTGCTTCTGTTGCATTCCATGTGCTTTTCTTTTTGCTGGGATACTTAGTATCCCCATGTTTCTGGCCAAGAACTACACAGCTTCAGCTTTGATTTGGCCACTCACAATGATTCGCCAACCTTCTGTGCACACTCACTCCCTGAGTCTCACTTCCCGAGTTCCTGGACTTTACGCACTTTTTGTCCAAGGTCCCAACTATGCACCCCTGGGTAGGTGCCCGTGCAAAATACCACAGAAGCTGAAATACACTATGGGTACATACATGGTATATAGCCATCTTGTCCAGTGGGATGCCAGGGGTACCTGCCCAGGGGCACGTGGTTTGGCCCCCAGATTTTGGGAAGACCACTTAGGAAGTGAGGAGCTGATGGACTTTCTGCTTTTGATAGGGGCCATCTTAGCTAGGTCCCCCAGCAATTGGTGTCTTTTTGAACCCACTTTTTTCGGCTGGGAGGGTTCCCCTACTAAAATAGACTATGGAAAAAAAGGGTACCCTTATTCTAACTTCTCTACTGGAGGACCTAGTTAGTGGCAAACGACCAGTTCCAGGGTTTTGTTTGGCCAAGCCACATCCAAAACGAAGCCGATGATCCTCCAAATTTGGGCTCCGAAATTATCAAAAGTTGTTCAACCTCCTTTGTTTCCTTTCAGCTTATTTTCCCCTCAGGGCCCTTGGGCATTGCCCAAGATATGGTTGGCGATTTCATTTTTCTTGAGGGTAGCGAGGGTGCTAAATGGATCCACTGGCTGCAAGTTTCATGGGGGCCGGGGGGGAGGGAGCCCATGAGGCCCCTCCCTCCCTCCCTCCCCCAGCTCCCCCCCCATCCCTCCCCCCCAGATCCCTGGGCCCCATGGCGCACCGCGCCGGCGCTTTGCTCAGGTGACCACCGCCAGCGCTTTGCCGCGCCTGGCGGAGCTCGGTTGCCTCTTCGGCCTCGGCGCCGAGGCCCACTCCGAGGCGCCCAGCGCCGGGGTCGGCTGCGGCGGTTTAGCGTCGGAAGCGTCGGGGTTCAACGTGTTTCCGGGGTGGGTTGAAAGGGGACAGCCACGGGATATATATATATATATATATATATGGTACCCCCCCCGTCGATCTTTGGGGGGGGGGGGGTACCATACATATATATATATATATAAAATGTTTATGTATACACGCATAAGTATAAATATATATATAATTATATATAGACACACACCCTTTTTGTCGGGGTTGGAAAACAAGAGAAGGGGGAAACAGATGTTAAATTTCTTTTTTTTTTGGGGGGGAGTGGTTTTAAAGGGAGCAAGGGCTTTTCCTGCAAAGTGACGAAGTCCGGGGCCTCTCTTAGCACCGGGCCGTTGTGAGCCCCAGGTGGAAAAAAGGCCCCAACACCCTCCCAGCTTGTGGAAAATGGACCCGCTTTTGGGTTCCATGTGAATGTGTTGGGGGAGTAGCTGGTGCTTGCGACCGCAATTGGTCGATGATCGGATTTTCTTCGTTGCGAGTGAGGATGAATATTTGTGAACATGGCGGTCCTGACAGGTTCACATATCTTGTGGAAACGTGAGTACTTGCATAATATAGTCACGTGCAGGGGTTCAGACAGGTTGTCGATCTGCACGCAGTACTGCAGCCATCTTGTTTTACTTGTTTGATTGATTGCTGGCTTTGCTGGTTTTGTTAGGAGATTCGTTTGGGCTCATGATCGAGTTGTAGTGCATGCACCTTTGCAGTTTGTTGTAAGTGTTGTGCATGTCGTTGGAACTGTCGGCATGTTGGAACAGTCCGCCGCTGCAAATTCTTGGCTTCAGCCTAGATCTAAAAGAAGGGGGTTTTGATTTAGTCCCCAGGTGAAAGCGTTGTACATAATGCGCTTCTGCCTCCTATTGCCGCTGTTGGCGGCTGCTTTGGAGCACGAGTTGGTGGCCGATGACGAATGCACACAAGGCAGGATGGGGTGCATGGCGGCTCGATTTTTGTTCTGGCAGACCTAATGTGATTCCGGGGGGGCTGAGGCAGGATTGAATGACCAACCACCACAGTTCACTTGCCCAGACTGGGAAGATTGGGGAGTCGAGCTACGAGTGAAAAGATTGGGCAGGGCACCAACTTCAAATATGCCAAGACATGGCCCGTTGAGTATTTCCACACTGTGTGTGTTTGGTAAACCACGATAAATAAACTACCAGGCTTGGATTGGTTCTCCAATTGGACCGCAATTTCAAAGGTTTTGTCACCAGAGCCCTTGACCATACCCCTTAAGGATAAGCCAAACATCAGCGGAACAAGGGGTAAATAAGCCCTAAGTAAGGCTTTACTATCATTTTTCTTCTTTGGGGTTTGGTCGGGGACCCGGTCAGTGGGGAAAGCCTTTGATAAGCATGACTGAACTGTTTCATGGCTGGCAGACACAGCACGACTGCATGGCTTTTCTCTCGGGTATCGAGCTGAGTTGGCACGAAACGTTGCAGTGAGGCTCCTGTGCGCTGAATGCCCTTCAGATGCAGCAGCGGCAGTTGGTCGAGAGCTGCCAAAACAATACCCAGTGTGCAGCTCGGCCCCTTGAGGTCTACCTCAAGTTTGCGCTTGACCCGAATGGGTGTGGCTTAAAATTAAGCAGGGCAAACCGCAGGCTTTGGTCCATGTCTCCACTTACCAGGGTTCCCAACCCATTTTGGAGTTCCGGTTTTTTGAACCAAATATCAAGAATGCGGTCATGCCCCCAGTGTTTTGACCAATGATCCGAGTTTTTTAGGCTCAGAACACACATGTTTGTTACTCATGGGGGCTGGGGGGGAGGGAGGGGGGGGAGGGAGACCAATTAAGCCCTAAATAAGGCCTTATTAAGGGCTTAATAAGGGCTTGTTTGGCCTCCCTCCCTTTGCTCCCTCCCCCCCAGGCCCCATGTTTTTGTTGCGCCGTGTTTGGCGAAGTGCAGAGAATGGTTTTCCGATGCACCGAGTCTCGCTTCACAAATGGTGGGATCAGCTGCTTTTGCAGGGTGCCTGGACATTCCGATGACTTCCCATTTGATGCGGTTGAGGCCAGCTCAGGCCATCCGGATGAAACGAGTGACGCAGGAAATGCAGGTTCCAAAGAAACAGGCCCTGGCACTTTCTTAGTTGCCCAAAGCGAATCAACATTTTAAAGACTTTTGGTTCCCCTATACGTGTTTTCCACAGACAATATGAAAGTGTCAATCGGTGGTCCGACCTGTCCAACTGCACTTTTCCTTGATGTAAACCAGCAACCATTTTGGCCGTTCGCTCCGCGTGTTTTGGCCCTTGCGGGTTCCCTTGAAGGATTCCGTGGCGAACAGGGTACCCTTTTTGGGGTTGTTTTAAAAGAAAGCCGAAAAGGCACGAACCATCTTGTTCGTTCCCTTATCTTCAGACAAACACATATTACCACAGACAGTTTGCCAATGGTGTCTTTCATCCTGGGTGAGCTTTGAGCCAAGGACAGCAACCGCACCTGCGTCTTCAAACAGGACAAGTCTCAAGGGCCTTAAGCCTCCGTTTGTGCAAGCGGCTCATGGATGTTTTTTTTTTTTTTGTGTGTGTGTGTGTGGGTGTGCGTGTGCGTGTGCGTGTGCGTGTGCGTGTGCGTGTGCGTGTGCGTGTGCCTGTGCGTGTGCGTGTGCGTGTGCGTGTGCGTGTGCGTGTGCGTGTGCGTGTGCGTGTGTGTGTGTGCGTGTGCGTGTGCGTGTGCGTGTGCGTGCGTGTTGCGATGGTGATCGATGGTGCCTTTTTTCCGGTGATTTTACGGGGGATCAAACGGACAACACCCATGTGAGTGTTTCACCGCTGTTTGCAACACACACTTCCATCGCGCCAGGCTCACTCAGTATGGGGCTTCTCGGTGGACTTGTAGAGTGCAATTCGGAAAGCAGTCATGAAAGAGGTACTCCCCTGGAAATCAATCAAGCCTTTGTCGCTTCCACGTGAATTCTGAGCACCGCCTCACCAAAACCAACGTGAAAGCGTGCGAACTCACCCATGATGAAGATTTATTTGGGATCCAGTTCTTGTTTCAGATTGGTGATAGCAATCAGCCAGGTTCTCAGAGTACTTCATATCGAAGGTGACTTCGCAAAGCGAGCGGTTTTTTGCGTCAACCATTCTCTTCAAGCTGTTTTTTTGGAAACCACCCAAACTTTACAGGGGCTTGGCAACTATCCTTTGAAGAAAAGGGTACAGCTTAAGGGTGCATGATGGGCTACTCCAGAATGAGGTCTTTTTGGCCTGGTTTTAGGGGTTGAACAAACATCTGGTGAAATTCCCACAACATTCCTTGGAGCAAATGGTATTGTCTTCAGATGGGGTCTCTTTGGCCTGGTTGGGATTGAAGCTCAGGTGACATTCCAACCATTGTCCTGGGAGGAAGTCTGGTTTCGGTGGATTTTCCGAAGGACAAGTCCTGGAGTCAGTGTGTGCCTTTGGACGACGAGACTTTCCAGAAGGAGTGCCGCTACTGGGACAGGGGCCTCCGCCTTTCTGAGCCTCGGCGGGATTTGTTCCTGGGGGTCTCTTTTCACCTTTCTTTTCGAAACTTGATTGCTATTGGGTTGCATCTTTATAGACTTTAACTTTTTGGAAAATAGCGGTGTTTTCCACGAAACCCCCAACAAGTTAAGCTTTTTGCAGGGGGTCAACAGCAACCAAGCAAATAGGCATAAACAACAAGAAGCCGCACTTCCTGAGACCCTTTTGGGTTTGGGCCTTTTTGGTGGTAATCGAAGCTTTTGGTTACTTGTTCCCCAGCTGAAAGCTTTGGGGTCAGTCAGAACGGGATGTCTGTTGGTTTCTCTCAGCCACCACATAGGGTACCCTGAAAAAAGACACACCCAGCTTTAAAGAGGTCATGTAGGTTTGACATTTGCGAGACCCTTTGGTGGACATGTCTGGGGTCTCTTCCTTATGTATTTATTGTAAATAGACTAAACGATAAACAGGACCGGAACACATGGTTTTCCTGATTTCCCGAGTTTCTGGTCTTGATCCTTTTCGGTATGACAAGCAAACGTACGACCGACACAAAAACAGCTCTCGCATCAGAGTCGCCAGTGAAAAGGTAGACAACAGTGAGCCATGCCGCTTTCACCGGCGCAGCTGGTTGAATAGTAGGGTACAACTGCTGGTGTTGAAAGTCAGAAGTTAGGCTTTCCCTCACCGCCATTGTGGATGGACGAAAACCTGCACCACCGAAAGGAAACCGTGGAATGATGATTCCCCTGCAAATAGCAACAAACATTGGTTTTCCATAGTTTCTTAGGTTGTGAAATGGATCTCGTCATTGCACGCTGGGGGGCGTCCAATTCAGGAGTCCAGGAGTCCTTGCGTGACACCCGGAATTCCACAAGATTGAATCCGACCAGTCGAAGTAGTTGCAGAGTTTTCACATTGGGTTTGATCAATATTATTCCGTTCGGCCCCCAAATGACCATGGGTAACTTTCCCATGTCACGTGGGGCACAGCAATGTGCTTGGTGGTTTCCCCCAATGGCCATCCCATGTAAAGAAGCTTTTGATCAACCCCCACTTCACCTTTTGAAAAGGTGATCGGAGCAACCCACTTGAGGTTTCATTCAGGCACAGGCCGCACTGGAAAGTTGCCTTGGCACTGTCAAATCACGAGCTGTTTCTGGACAAAATCCGAACAAAGCCTGGTTTCTGATGATTCCGCTGCGAATACCAACAAACGTTATGGTTTCAACCATGGTTTCATTTCGCACCGGTGCGAAATGGATGTCGCAATCATCCACAGGACTGGATCCGGTGGCTATCTTTTGCTCTTCCATTTGGCCACCATCCTTCATCCAACAACATCGCCCAAAGGCTTGAAGGCCTCCTAGGTATCGCCGACGACACACACACACACACACACAATATATGTCATACTCACTCCCTGAGTTCCAGGACTATATACTCTTTCTTGGTTTGGACCATTTTAGTGGCTTAGACCAAGCAAAAAACACTTGCTGTTGTTCCATCCACGAGTATTTTGGTTTTTGATTCAGTTCGCTCAGTTGGTGTCTTGGGACTGTCCTCCACTTTTTGTGTGCCAGAAAAGTCGAAAGGCTTGATTTCAGCAGTTCCAGTTTTAGGGAGGCTTTGGGTTCTTTTGTTGAATACCCTAGGGGAACAGATCGGAAACCAAAGGATTGTCGCGCACTCCGGAGATTCCAAGTCCTGGGTGCCCGAAAGGAACCAAAAGGGAATGCGTCATTTGTTCTTCTGGCTCTCAGATTTGGATGAGCCCATCAGGCGATCAACGCCACAAAGATGACCTGCAACACCATCAAGTGCGCGTTTGACCAGGCCCGCACGGACCCGGCCCGATGTCGCAAAATCCCCCCCCCCCTCCTCGCCAAAGTGATACGGGGGTCGCTTGAAAAGCACGAGACCCTAAACAAAGACAACACCTCTGAGGCGCCGCTTGGGAGGTCGTTGGTTTGAGACAGCCCCATGCCTTCAATTGCCCGAGTGACTTGGTTCATGTCCCCGGTGGCCTTCCGAGGCTTGTTTTTCAGCCGATTTTTGTTGTTTTTCCAACCCCGAGTACAGGTCCAGGGACTATAGGTCCCCCAGGCAGGTGCCAACTTTTTACCGTTTCTTTTTGGGTTGGGAGGGTTCAACCCTACTAAAAGAGACAAAAAGGAAAAAAGTTGGTACCCTTATTCCAAGCTCTCTACTGGAGGACCTAGGGGATGTTCCGGGGGTGGCCCGCAAAACCATGTTATATTGGGGTCTTGCTTGTGGGTGGGTGTCAGTGTCTGAGTTTCCCCTTGGGCTTTCAAGAGTGGCAGTCCTGGGGGTCCACCTATTGCAACTTTGGGGGCTGGGGGTCCAAGGGGGTGGTTCCCTAAAGGAACCCGAAGGAACCCTAAGAAGCCCGAAAGGCCCTCAACTATCCCCCCCCCTTGGGTACCTACCGCCCTTAGGCGTTGCATGATGCAACTTTGGTGGAACTCTGGTATCCCCCGAGTCCTCAGTTTGACCAGACTCGCGACAGGACTGCGAACTGGGCAACGTTTGTGTCTCCAAGCCGGACGGGAGCTGGGCGCAGTGTGTGCCCTTGAAGAAGGAGGACCGGAAGGGCGGGAGGGTGTGTCTTAAACACAGGGTGCCACAACATGGTGCCCAGCCCCCCCCCAACACCTGCTTGTTCAACTACTGCTAAATTCCCAAATTCTGCCCAAAAGGCAGTGGCTGGGACCCGGGTGCTAGGTTGTTTTCCTTGGGTTTCCATTTAAAGACCACACAGATCGTAACCCGCAACCTCACAATCCATACGGCTTCAAATCTTTAACAACCCACTGGCTCAGAAAGGAAGACAAGGAGCTCGCGTGTTGTGTGTGACTGTGTGTGTGTGTGTGTCTCACTTCCTGAGTTCATGGACTTTGACCTTTTTGTGTTTGGACCATTGCAATGGTAAATGAGATGTTTTAGTTTTTGCCAATCCACTCAGGAAGTGAGGTGTGTGTGTGTACCTATATGATTTCCACTACGCCATGCTTTTCTTGCAAGATCTCAGGTGATGCGCGACTCAGGGGAGCACACTTTTTGGACCGAAATGGACGCTGAGTCTTGAATTGGGGGACCTGACATTCTCCAATCCTGCTGTTGTCCCTTTAGTCCGCTAAAACCTTCCCAAAACGGTGTCCCAAAAAGAAAACACCGTCAAAAACCCCGGACCCCACTCCAAGACTTTGGACTTTCTTGTGGGTTCCTTTCGCTGGTTCGCATCAAGACGGATATCCAAAAGCTTCACCTGCTTCACAGAATCTTTCAGCTGGGGATCTGATACCCAATTCTCCAAAACCGACCAGATCTGACCTTTAGATTTTCCCCAGCTGAAAGATTTCCCATCCATGTGGGTGAATCCATTTTCCCCACCAGATGTTCCCATCCATGTGTCGTCAAAAATTCCCAGCTCCACTTCCAAAGCGGCCAGTGAACTAGTGAGCTGGGATCTGGCTGGTTCATTCAGCCTTGTGATTCTCTGAAAGAGAACTCCCTGAGTTCCGGTTTTCGCACTTTATACCTTGGAAAGAATGATTTGTTGGTGGTTAAATCGAAAGTTTATGCCTTTTTGGATATATATATATATATATATTGGTGGTTTAATCGAAAGTTCTGACTGTTTTGGCCAATCCACTCGATCGGTGAGCTATCGATTTTCAGGGCCCCCCTGGTACATGACGTTTGACTGGCCACGCTCTCGTTGTCTTGCTGGTGCTCAGTAGGGAATGAGGAAATGAACCCAGGCTTTTCCCCTTAAAGGACACCACCAGTTGGAGTGAGGTCATTCCACACCCTTTGACACTACCAATTGGATCGTGCTTGGTTGGATGGTTGTTCTTGGGGTCATTCCAAACCCTGTGGTTCTCTGCATCTCGCGCATCTTGGTTGTTCTTGGAGCGAATTGAAACCCTTTCCCCGCGTCTCTCGCTCCGCTCGCAAGTTCTTCAGGACTTCCAGAAGCAATGCGTGGGCTGGGAGGACGACTTTCGCCTCGCCAGCATCAAGGCCACGCACTGGAACTGCCCCAACACCAGATGCCACGTGTCGGGAATTTTCATGGGACAGTGGGTGTGTCTGGGGACTTACAACCATTGGAAGTGGGTTACAACCAGGGTTGCTAGCCATTTTGCTAACTCCCAGACCATCTAAGTGCCCAATTTGTGTGGTGTTAAAGGGACGCCCAAAGGACCCATGTACGACATGTACGTGTTCACATTACCCAGCCCATCCGCTTCCTGAGGGCTGTTGCTTTGAAGGGTGTAGTGGGGGTTTCCTTTTTAACCCTAAACTTCTAGCAGGAGATCAGCACAGCCAATGATTCGTTCGGACATGGACTGATAGGGGAGCATCCTTCACCAATGTCCGACACCCCATCGGACAGTTACCCCAGCATGCTGAGAGCAGTCGGACCCGTTCCCCACACCTGAGACCATTCAAGCAAGCTTGTCAAGAAAGCATGGGCGACTTGTTTAAGTTAAGTATTGCAGGAAGAGCTGTGGCTTGCGCGGAGCACTCTTGCACGAACAGTTGCACGCGGAGTTTCACGCTCGTACTTGCTCAGGGTGGACTTGGTGGACTTGCACGCAGCGCGATCCTTTCCAGTTCTTCCAGTCTTCTCCATTCCTTGTCTCCTTGAACACGGGTTCCATGGGAGTGCATCGCTGTTCTTTTTTTGATTTCAAACTTCACCAACAAACGGTCACTGAGGCTTGCAGGTTCGGTTCCAGTTTGGCTCATTGGTTGCAAGGTTAGGGATGGACGGGCTGCAATGACGCGCGCGACTGAGGTTACTCGCAGGACTGGTGCGTGAGCGGTGCCAGATGTGCCCAACAAGAGGACGCCGAGTGGGGCCAGTGCATCATGTGCCACACCAAAAGCAACTCTGCTGCACAGTTGCAGAGCTGCTCTTCGATACTTTGAAGTGAGTCAGCTTCAAGGAGCCGCTAGCCCCTCGAAGTCCAGACATAGCTACATGTGTTTGGGGGCCTGAACAATTTGAAGTTTTAAATTATAAGGTGAAGCCGGATCCAACCGCTGACCTTAGCGGAAATGAGGCGCCAGGATGGTTGATGCAATCGTCAGCCAGCGTGTCTTCGTATGGTGTGTATTGTACTCGTTCTGTCAAGAGCATTCCTGACATTGGGACCAGTTGCCCCTTTGGTGCTTGCCGGTCGGCCGGAAGCACAAAGCAAACATGGGATGCGATCTTTATAAACTATTCAAACTAAAGTCTCAAAGTGTAGCTTACCAAGACATGAGCCCGCTAAGACATTACATGATACTTTGCAAGTTGTACTTCCCACGGAGAGCACAATATTGATTCTACTTCCCGCAAACATATCACAACAAATTGTTCCGGAGCATGCTCCTTGGTGTACGCCGCGAAAAGCCGTCCAGTTTCCTTTTGAAGCTACTGCTCTTTGGGGCTTTGCGCAGGTATTTCTCAAGTTGCCCAGACCATCCGGGACCCATCCTACTGGGACAGCTTGGAAAACAATCAATCAACGGCTTTCCTGGACCTCAAACTACCCGAAAAAAACGGAAAAAAGAAGGATAACCTACCCCCCAAATAAAAAACCTCAACACCCGCCCCCCAAAAAAAACAACAAACACCAAACAAATCGAAAGAAAGAACGACCTTCATCGGATTCAGACGCCGCGTTTTTCTCAGGCTTTCAGACCAACTGCTTCTCCTGGCGTTCCAGCTTCATCGCGGCAGCGGAGAAGGCATGCCACCGGGAGTGTTTGCCTCTTGGCCCGAGATTTGGACCGGGCTCGCGGATTTGCTCACGACTCAAACCCAGGGATGGTCGATGTTCGTGAAAAAGGGGAAGCCCTGAACTCAAGCGCTTTTGGAGTATCACATCTTTCTCAGAATAGGTATTTGTTTCTTGAAGGGGAAACCAACAGGAAACAAGTCACCTGAAAGGGGGTCCCTATTTTGAGAAACTCCGATATGCAAGACTTAATCCCAGGGGTGGTCGGTTTTTGTCAAAAGAGAAGGAAGTTTTGAACCGAAGTGCTAGGAGTCAAAAGTTGGAACAGTGGGTCCTGGCCCACTTTTTCCAGTTGCTTCAATTCCAGGACCAGGACTTGGTTGTTCCCAGCTGTCGTCTGCTTTCCATATGGCTGTGGTTGTCAAAACCAATGGGATCCCATTTTGGGGCCCTTGGGGTAGGTGAATTCACCACCCATTTTAGGACCTATTTTAGTGGTTCGATTGGGATGTTCTCTGGGGGTACGATTTGGAGTTTGACCCATGGCCATATTTTGAACCCGCCAAAAGTTGAACTTGTAGCAGGGGATCTGAATCCGGACAGCCCAGAGGCCAAGCCCTTCCCTGGGCAGAGACGGGCAGAGACGGCGGGGCCACACTGCCGTGCGCACGCGCGCGTGTGTGTGTGTGTGTGTGTGTGTGTGTGTGTGTGTGTGTGTGTGTGTGTGTGTGTGTCTGTTTGCCTGCGGAAAGCATCTTTTGCGATTCATTGGGAGGGAATACAGGAAGGTTCCCAAATATATCGCCCAGGGGTCAGGCAAAAAGTAAGATACAAGGCTGGGTGTGGTTTGGTAGTGAAAAATCCCGCGTGATCAACACAGAACAATGCGCAACTAGTACTTGGTATATGCTAAACCTTACGCCAGCACCAAGCAGCAAGCATGGTCCAAGACCAAGCAGTAGCTACTGGAAGACTCCTTGCTTTGTGGTTATTTGGTTGGATCTTTGGACTTTCAACACTGGATTTTCCCCTCGCCCCA